GGCCTCCCAGGCCGGGCTCCTTGTGCCCCGGCCGGGCTGGCGCTCCCTGGTAGTCCAGTGCGGAGCGCAGGGAGGGAGGCGGATGAAACAGCCTGTTGCTGTAGAGAAGATGCCTCCCGAGGCTCTGGTCACCTGTGGACGCACCCCCCCAGGGTCCCGATCGAGATGTCTGGGGCTGGCAGGGAGGGGCGCCCAGCCTCGGGAATCTTGAAAAGCTGCTGCTTAATTGTGGTACTTGCCATTGGCCTGCTGCTTTGCGCTTCCCGGAGTGATAACCTGCTCTCAGCTCTCTGGATCTGGAGACCTGATTGTGCAGTTTGAACTGATCCTTTTTTGGGGGAATTGACTTGCCAGTGTGAGTGACGTGGATTTAGTATTCTTGTAGCTTAGATTTTTGTGTCTTCCAATTTTCCACAGAACTGCCTCTGCAACTGACCAGCTTTGAGAAAGATTTCAAATGAAATTTGAAAAGTGGGGACATGTGTTGCTGATAGCCCCTAATTACACTTGAAAAGATTCTGTTACCAAAAACCTCCTTTAAGTGGGTTTGAACAAGTAGTGCCGAGAAAACAGCCTTACTGAACATTGTTGCATAGTCCACTGATACAGTTAAAACTGAGGCATGTGAACAGTTTTTGGTCATGACATTATTTAGGAATAAAATGCAGGAGTTGATATACCAAAGCGATCGTTCGAAACTGTAATTTCACTTCAGTTTAGTAAATATGTATTATCTATAGTGTTATATGCACTTGAAAGGATATATCGATAGAAGAAAGCAGAGATTGCACACATTAAATAATTGGGAAAGCAGTACAGTCGTGCTTATAGGTGTAGCAGATGGCCTAGTGGTTACCTTGCTGGACTCCCACATGGCTGACCATGGTTCAAGTCCTGGACCTGGTGAATTGAAACTCATGCTGGTCACGTGTGCGTGTCCCAGATCCCAGGAGGAGAATGGAGAAGGGATTGTGGCCTGGCCATACACCTGGGGGTGATTTCTCACTTTCCCTCTCACTGTCTCTGTTTCTGTCTCTCTCTCCGGGGAGCACATGCACCCTACCACAAAAACCTATACCAAAAAAAAAAAAAAGGCCTTGTTTTCATGCAAAATATGTGCCAGAGTGGGTGGAAAAATGAGTATGGCCTTGAGTTTTCAAGAATATGTTTATGGATTAAGTAGTACTTACTGTGTCTCTAAAGTATAGATACAGTTTATATTTGCACTGGAGAGTGCACGGACTCCCAAGTAATTTATTCCCTTATATACTTACAGGTTTGGGAAATAGTTCCACATGAGATTCTTCTAATTCTTCTTTTTTTAAGAGAAAGATTTCACAGACATTGGAACTTTATTTTTTTAAGTTTTTGCCATAGGGCATGTGTGCTTGTTAGACAGAAGGAAAGTGAGAGATTCCCGCCCCCCCCCAGGAATTTGGGGCCTACATGCACCTGGTGTGAGGTTTTTAAGCTGCTGGGTTTGGGACTTGAACAGTAGTTTGCCATGTGGAAATCCAGTGTGTTAACTGCCATGTCACCTGTTGACCCAAACCTTTTTTTTTTTTTCTTTAACTTTTTTCTTTGTTCATGGTAGGGTGCATGTGCACCTGTGAGGAGAGGGAGAGGAGCATCCTCCACAGGGTCTATTACACCTCAGTCCCCTCCTCCATCCTTCCAGCCTCTTAGCTCCTAGGTCTCTGCATGTGTGTCTAGCATGTTTCAGGAGGAGGGCTGGGGTCTTGAACCTTGGTCTCCATGTGGGATACGTCTGTTCTTGAGCAGCACATTATTGTACCAGGGAGCTGGCCTCTCATGTGGCTTTTTGAAGTCTTTATTTAGAGCTCTTAAGTTTACTTGAGTTTGATTCTTTTTTTTTTTTTTGGAAACATTCAGTATAATCTCTGGTCTTTTTCCTGTTTCAGATCTAAAATAATGAGGCTGTTAGCAAGGGGCTTCGCCCTCAGAGATGCTTTCCTTTGCCTCTGAAGTTCCTCTTACGTTGATATGAAGCGCTGCAGTTGGAGTAGAATTAGTGCTTCATACATACGTCCAGTCTTGTGAAATGTTATTCTTTACGGTCATTTGTGGCTTAATGAGAAATGGGTTATTGGGCAATTTTGTCATATGTGAACAGCAAAGGTACTCACACAAACCTAGATTGTAGTCACACAAACCTAGCTTGTAGTCACACACCTGGGTTGTAGTCACACAAACCTGGATTGTACGCATACACAGCTAGACGACACGGCTTACTACACACCGAGACAATGTGGTATAATCTTATGGGACCTTGTCATATACGCAGTCTGTGACCTCAGTGTCACCATATGGCGCACGACTGTTTGTGGCTGGTATTTCCACGGTACTTCCTATATAGCAGTCTCTGTGCCGGGAACTAGCAAAACAGTCACTTAGCATCCAGGAGCTGTACTTTGTCGCGCGTGTGTGTGTGTGTGCGCGCGCGCAGATGCATGTGCGTTTAACCTATCAGCCTGTGTTTGCTCTGAGACATAAGAGGGCCAAGGCAGTTTATGTAGACATCTAAATTTACTTGCTCATTCACTTTTTTTGTTTTGTTTTGTTTTGTTTTATAGGGAGTTTAGGCCCATTTGCTTTGGGCATCTACCAAATACACATTTGTGCAGATGAACAAACTTTTTTTTTTTTTTTAAATAAAAACATTTATTTATTTATCTATTTATTTGTTGTGATTTTCGGGCCGCTGGGTCTGCGGTTGGCCATGTGGGAGTCCAGCACCTCAACTACCATGCCACCTACTGGCCCAGAGATGCACAAACTCCAGGAGACTTCTAAGGATGTTTTTGTTGCTGTCTTCCAGGTTTGGTGTTCCTTTATTCACTCTCAACAAGTATTCACGTGCTTCCTTGATGCTAGGCACTGTGTTTGGAGGGGGGAGAGGGAATGCATGCATGATCCTTCCCTCAGTTGATAAAAATCAGATAATGACACAGATGTGAATCTGCACCTGTGACGATGTTTTTATGTTAGGGATGTGACAGAAGTGACATTTGAATGGAAATTACAGGGGGTCAGAGCAGAGAGCAGGCCAGAGTCCTTCTGGTGGCAGTCTGTGGAAGGCACTGAGGGCTGTGGTATAGCCTCTACATGGAGCTGGAAGAATGTAGAAGAGTCTGGTGAGAGGGGGTGGAGAGGTGGGCCAGACTGGAAGCGCTGGGCCTTGTCTCAGGCTGAGTCTCACGTCTGAGTAGACAGCAGTGCTCTAGGGTCTTACTTAGGGATGCGGGTTGCTCTTGTTGGGGATGACTCCATGAGACAGTCTTGAATTGCCTGCTTTGTCTTTCTTCGCATGCATAATATATGTGTTGTCTTCTCATCCCTTTCCAGCATGTCCCCGCTGTTTTTTTTTAAATTGGAGAACCTTCCCTGTCCCACTAGCAAATGTGTGTGTGTGTTTTAATTGGGACAAATGAATTTTAGGGATTGCAAGTTACTTGATTTTAAATATTCTTTCATTCATACTATTAGCAGGGCATTAATTTCTGTAAGTCATTTTTCTTTTTTTTTTTCTTTCTTTCTTTCTTTCTTTTTTTTTTGAGAGAGATTTTTGCTATGGAGTATACTTGCTTGCTAGAGACACAGAGACAGAAAGTAAGAAATCACTCCCAGGGGGATGGCCATGCCATAGTCTCTTCTCCATTCACCTTTAGGGATTGTGGGCATGCGAGCACATGCACCTGGTGTGAGTTTTAAGCTGGCATGTCTGGGACTTGAACCATGGTCAACTATGTGGGAGTCCAGCCATGTAACCATTATGCATCTGCTGGTCCCTCATTTTCCTTTTAAAAATTGTGGTGAAAAACCACATAATGTAAAACTTACCTTCTTAACCATTTTTAAGTGTCTAGCTCAGTGGTGTTAACTGTATTTACATTGTTGTATGACAGATTTCTTCTTTATTTTTTTAATTTCTCTTTCTTTTTTTCTTTTTTTGAGAGGTTTTTGCTATAGGGCGCATGCGCTTGCCAGAAAGACAGAGAGAGACAGAGAGACACAAAGTGGGAAATCACCCCCCGGGGGCATGGCCACACCACAATCCCTTCTCCTCCATTCTCTTCTTGGGATCTTGGGCACGCATGCACACGCACCTGGTGTGAGCTTAAGCCACCAGGTCTGGGACTTGAACCATGGTCGGCTACATGGGAATCCAGCGACATAGCCATTATGCCAACTGCTGGTCCCTGCCCCCAGTCACCCCGTTCTCCTTTCTGTTGCCATGAATGACCAGTCAGATAGCTCATGTAAATGGAATCATGTAAGCCACATCCATTTTGCCCTCATGCACCTCCCTGGTATGTGCTTCTTTCTCCCTTCAGTCAGTTAGCATTGCCCAGTTCCTGAAAACCCACTTCTTTCTCCTGTCTTTGTACTTTTATTAATACATCCAAAATGGAAGAAGCCCTAAAGTCATCCTGTCCAACTCGTTCTTTTCCTTTTTTTTTTTTTAGAGGATTTTTTGCTATAGTGTGCCTACGCTCGCTGAGAGACAGATAAAGAGACAGAAAGTGAGAAATCACCCTCCCGGGGGATGGCCACGCCGCAGTCCCTTTGGCATTCTCTTGGGATTTTGAGCACGCTCGCGCACACACACGCCCGGCATGAGTTTTACACTGTCAGATCTGGGACTCAGACCACAGTCAACTATGTGGGAGTCTAGTGATGTAACCATTATGCCATCTGCTGGTCTCCAACTCTCTCTTATTGTAGGTGAGACAACAGAGTCTTGTAGAAATTTCAGTGATTTCCCCAAGGCCACATCTGGGGAGTCCTGGCAGGGTTGGGACCAGAGCCCTGGTCTTTTACCTCCTGGGCAGGTGCCTTTTCTGCTTCAGTCTGCTGACTTGTG